ATATATTGCAGCATTGAATTATTTGCTCCACATTGAATTTTAAATATACTAATAATGACTGCAATATTCGCATAGTCACATATAGGTTATATCTACTTTTTTGATTTTTAGCATACATACGTAAAATGTTGYGCAAGTGTTTTAAAAGCCTTTAAACTTTAAAGTACATCATACTATTGTTGTCTACATAATATACGTGGCATCTACGAAACAATAAAAACAAATGTTAAGACGTATTATATTTTACATGAAATCAATAGTTATGATGTGACGTACGTTTTTGAGCCAAATTTATAAATTATCCTATAATACTGATAAGGTAAACTACCTTTTTTTATTATACATCGATTTTTTCACCATTTTAACATTTCCTTATAATAAACTTAATAATATTCTTCATGAATCAYATGTATCCGTCTGTCACGTTATTATTATAATTGAGCCGGGTACATAGGTTAGGCGGTAGTGGCGGCGCGGTCTAACCCATAATTTAAGACAATGTTGCTAACCCTTTTCGAATTAGCTACTACTACCTTGCTGGGCTGCCAATGATTTCGTTCAATAATAGCCTCCGTCTTTTTCTTTCTCTTTTTTACTTCACCCTCATTCCTTCTTCACTACAGCCTTAACCAGTCCCCTGCCGTGAGCGACGCCGCACCCGTTAATTTCGTAATCGTGCATCGAATTAAGACGGACATTATAAAAGAAAATTACAGTTTTCGTGCGATACATAAGTATTGAGGCRCTGGTACACGTACAAACTACACATTATATACACGCGTATACTGTAGTATCTATAAGATTGGAAAAAAATATATATGTGTGTGTGTGTGTAATTTATTATTTCGATTTCTACACGACACGCAGACGTGGCAGTGATTTTATTTCTATTATACTTATATATATGCGTAATGAAGGTATATAATATATATAATATATTACACTATATTATCTTGGACATCTATTAAGGAAATTTGGACACTAATTCTTATTTAAAGCCTCTATAGAAAAAAACATAAGATCCAAAAATATAGATGTATACTTCGAATGTTATTATGCAGACATTTTAAAAATATTCTTTTAAAATGTTTTAGAATAAAAGCAAAATGGGATCATCTGTCATTTGCGATTTACGTTGCATATACTTTCATTGTTTTATACTTTTGTGATTAAAAATCACCAATGCTCTCATATCTTCCACACCCATTATGGTATTATCTCTAACTCGAATACACAAAGTTAAATAACCCAATAAGCTATAATACAGWGATACATTTTATTATGATGCATGAACATTTTCAGAAAAATTATCTTTTTAATAAATAACATTTAACAGTAGAAAAGCGAAATTATATCATTTGGAAAAAAGCAGTTTGTAYCTCTTCAGGATAAAAGAAATAAAAGAAAAATATCAAGAATTTAAAAATACGGTCTTTATGTGTTTTTGAAAAATTACAAATTTTGAATTACTGCTTATTAATTGAAGAAAAAAGGAAGATTAGCATACTTATCGAATCACCTTATAGGTATATCTATAATCAATATAGCTATCTACCATATAAACTACCAACTATCTACCAWACCTATGTATATAATATTTATATTTTTATGTTATAATATAATGTTATATACTATTATTTAATATTTATACTCTTATAGTTACGTATACAATATACGTATCACAAAATATTGATTGATAACTCATTTTTATAGTTAATTATTTTCTCTTATTAGGTAATTATTATATGGCATAAACATTACACTTATACATAACTAACAATTACAAATATAAAAATTGATTGGGAAATAAGCTCATTGAGAATAAATAATTATACTCAATTTTTAATCCATTTAGTTTAATTTAATTACCTTATAATAATATATTCAAATAGCRTTTTAAATTAAAAATAATATTAGTTTATATTCCAGTAACACTTAAAAAAAAAATAGGTAGATATGATAAAATAAACAATAAAATAAATAATTAATTAATCATTTCCAAATTATCATTAAGGGAAAGTGAAGAATCTTAAAAAATAATGACTGAGAAAACTAAAGTTATTTTGATTGTAAGCTAAATAATTTTTAAATGTCTTATTCTGAAACAACCCGAAAGCATTTTTGATGGATTTTTCGTTTTTGTTCTATTAAGACARGATTATTGGTTTTGGTGGAATTTAAATTATCAGCGAAATATGATGGGTTCACTTTGCTAAGATTTTAATCGCGCAATAACAGGTTGTGTTGTATGACTGTAGCAGTGTGTAGCAGTGAGGGTTAAGTTGTAAAAATGTTTTTAAATTCAAAACATGATATTTTTTCTATTAAAATATAGCACAAGATATGCATTTTTATGTTTATAGTTGAAATCTATAAATAGTTTGAAAATATCTTTGTACATATAGTAAATAATATACTATAATGAAGTGAAAGTTACAAGGGACTAAATATAGGTAGCTAATAAAATATATTTTAAATTACAACAAAATATCTAAAATTGTAATGTTTCTTTCAAATATTCAAATTTATTAAAATGATTATAAAAAAAAAATGATTTTTTAGAATTCTATAAGAATAACTCACAAGTCACAAAATATTCAAACATTTAACCTCTGCAGGTAATAATTAAAATGCTGTTAAAACTCATACGGTTGCATTAAAATTTCAGGTTTTAATTTTTTGGTTTTAACCCTCCATAAAGTACCAATTAAATCCAATTAGTTATACCGGAAACCACTCTCAAAATGTTAATAAAAAGTATTTTTTACTAAAAAGTGACGAAACATACAAAAATATCTCTGCTCAGAATCTAAACGACGACGCATAATATAACATATAAAATATTACTTCAGACAATAAAATAAATAATTATCAGAAAATATCTTATATATGCTTAATTTATTTTTAAAGGTTCTGACGTTGCACTGATTGTATTTGATTTTTAAATTATGCCATTTAAACAAAGTACTATTAGAATAATTATATTAGTTATTACGAGATTAAATTAAATGTTATTACGCCTAAAATATAATTATAAGATAACATCGTGTGTAAAGAAGATAAATAAAAAACATAAAAAGTTTAATTTGAATTCATTAAGCAACATATTCTAAGAAAATCAATCATTCATAGGTATTGGTAAGTAATAAAACTTGTTGAAAGTAGGTAATTTATTTAGATATTATAAGAACTTGGTAAATTATTATTATTCAGCTATCATATTTAGCATCATCTCACATCACAGATCATTGGTTAAGTTATTTATTGTGTGCATCMTAAAAATACAGAAAACATTGATATTTATTTAGCTTATATAATATGTAATGATATTTATTACAAAAAAAATAATATATACATTATAAATTTATGAAGTACYTATATGGCTATTATATTATAAAACGCACAGACTTTAAAATTATATTAACATCATTCATCAATCATATCAAATTACCATTTGAGTATATGATATCTACGCTAATCGCTATAAGTTATTAAAATTAGTATATTCATTATAATTATTATATTTCTTATTAAATTAACGTATTTTCATTAAACTACTATTTTAATTAAAAATTTCTAAAACCAAAAAACTGGTGCATTATAAATTTTTTTTCTAGTTAACATACAACTAATTTATTAAAATATTGATAATAAAGATTTATTAGTAAACTACAGCATCAAATAAAATTTAATACATACCTTGCTATCCAAATTACAAGATTTATGAAAAACATAAAATAAATCAAATCTATGCATGTTAAAAAAGTAGGTATAAAAACCGTCAAAATAGTACTACAAAAATAATATGTATCTAATATACATTTCATATTTAAAATCCTTAACGCATAAAACAGATGTAATACTATTTTTACAGGTATTTTTTAATGATTAGCAAATCCTATATATTATTATAATCCTAGTCCGGATATAACGTATTATAGTATAGTGAAATATATATAGTAACCCACAGTTCCTCCTATAAGTCCTAATCCTAATATATTCTTTACTATGTAATATATATATATTCAATATTTAAGCTATTTAATATTATGTACATATTATTAACATACAGCATCCCGCAGAAACCGGATCGACTACGATTTCTTATACACGCGATTATTTTGCCGGTCATAATAATAATAATTCGTCAGTACTCGCGGTAAATATGAATAATAATAGTAATAAACAGATTATACCGACTGCAATGCACCTATATAATATTATAATATACCTATTCTCTTGAGCCGGTTATTTTATACGTATATAATATAACCCATCATAATATGGTGTGAAATCAACTTTTGGGTCGATTATCTCGCTCGCCGATGTATAATATTATTATAGGAGAGACCCAACAAACGAAAACTCGCGTTCTACATTATGATAATAATATTGTTGTGAATGTTGTGATATAATATTGTTATTATAATCGCACCTCCCAACTTCTAATTACCGTGCGCGTTCGCTCTCGCGCGCATGGTCGTCGTCCCGTTCTTTCGTCGGTATATGTACCTATATAGTACCTACTTCGCGGACTCGAACACACAGCCCGCCGTACGTCATGCCCAGCGGTRTACCGGACAGTGTGCGTATATGTATATATATATAAATATATATATGTGTGTGTGTGTGTGTTTCGAGGAGCGTAACGTATAATAATCGTAAAAATAATAATGGTAAAAGTGAAGAAAAGAATGGGTACCTTCATATATGTATAGTGTATACATATATATAAAACGTGCCGGGTAATAATGGACCGAGAAAATAACACGCACACAGGCTAGCTGGTACATGTACCTACGCACACATGTGTGCGCGCGCGCGGTATCGTTTCAAAGAACGCTCGCGCGGGGCCTCCGGAACGGCCGTCACAGTATTACAGGCGGGAGGGTTGGCAGGCAGGCATTCCGTACGGCGGCGGCAGCAGCGGCGGCGACGACGGCGACGGTACGACGAGACCCCAAGGATGAGCGAGTGTGTGTCATGCCGTACTGTATAGGCGGTCGCCTTGCCGGTGTGCCGACGCCACTGCCGCCGCAACGGCACCACAACGGCAGTCGCCCGTCAGCATTAGATCGAGAATAACGTGTGCGTTATTCGACGTGTGTTCGCGTCCGCCGCGAACCGTGWATGCGTTTTCTTTAGCCGAGTTTTATCGTTCGTTTTTATTATTTTTAAACGTTTTTACATTTATGAAGTGGTTTTTATTTCTTTTTGAACCAATGACGAGAGGTTTTTTACTGTCACCGTTAATTGATCTTTTTTACTAAAACATTTTCTATTTGGTTTCTCGTGACCAGTTCGCGCAACAGTTACCTTCTTCATGGGACTGGCCAAAAAAATGGAATGGCTAAAGTGGATACGAAAATATTCTACAGGTAAACATTGTCACTGTTTTTTACTATCGTCGACGTGTTTCGTAAATCGCATGGGATATTTACGTTTATGGTGGCATATAATAATATAATTTTTCGTTTCGCGCACGACGATCCACACGATGCACGTTCTAAAATAGTCCTTACTAAACTACTGAAGAATAGAGGTTATAGGCACTTACCCTGCACTCGTTAACTGCTCACCCGTTYTACGATGTTTTTCGGTTGTTTCTGCCGCCGGCTGTTTATTATCTTGTCATAGTCGCAATAAAGCTACATTACATAACGGGTTACGGGAGACGCCGCTGCAAATAATGTATYGCGTATAGAGTTATACTGCTTTGRATCGAAAACCGAAGATCGACAGGCGCCGCGCGTAAGGTTTCGACAATGCTCCTGCAGCGGACGTTTAACTATAAATTATTATAATATAATGTAAGTTTATCGTTTAATTATGAAGAAGCCAGTAGGTAGATCATAAATATCGTTACGACTCATCGTGTACGCTGGTTCTACAACTCAAGTACCCATGTCTCGTGTATTATTATTATTGTTGTTGTTATAAACAGTGCGTGTGAGGATGTTATATTTGGCGCGCACGATTGTTGTGACACGCAATCGTTGTCAACGGTCGGCGGCAAATTGCCATTGAGGGTCGATGAACCACTACCGCCGAGTAAGACTCGACTGAATGCGTGTGCGGCGTGAAGTCAAGCCGCAAAGCCACCGATGCCGCCACAAGAACTGCAACCGACTCGTTATTTTGCTCAG